CAACCAAAACAAATGAAGCTTTTCTATTCTTTCTTTATATTCAATTTCTCATTTGATCTTTATATGTGATTTCTATGTATTACTCAATCTTGAATGTGACTCTCCAAACATCAATGTTTTGCTTGGAATATTTTTCTCATTCTTCTTTTTCAAGAAAAACATTTTGATTGCAGGTTAGTGAAGAATTGTCATCAAGTTTCTATGGTTGAATGGTGTTAAATAAGGACAGAAGATTCATAAAACGGATATATGTTGTTTTTTGTTTGAGCAAAGTAGACGAATGTTAGGTTTTTCTTTTGATTTAAACATATATTTATGTAATATTTTTATTTATTTTTTTCAACTACCCAATATTCTTATTTATTTGATTGTAGTTTTTCTATTTTGATTATGTTTATTTTCTATTATTTTTTGTTGGGTTATCCTACACAACATATTTACAAGACAATATTTAAAAGATAACATAATTTTTAACATTTGATATGTAATTATGATGACTTATCATTATATGTTCTTCATATGAAAGTAATTTATCCATATTACTACGACATGAATTACATATGTCATTTACGAAAATATATATTATATGTGATTTGTTTAACATACATATGCACCTATGTATGTTATAAATTTATAATTTATAATTAAATATCTTTATGTTTAATAATTGAAGGGATTAAAATGATGCATCAAAACCAATTATTTAGACGAATATAATAATAATAATAATAATAATAATAATAATAATAATAATAATACATTTCCAAGTAGCACATTCATTTGAAATTCACACTACAACTCAAGAGTTTTCTAATTTATGTATATTTATTAGTTACAACTCAAGAGTTTTTAACTTATGATTATTAATTAGTAATCACTAATAACTTTTTAATTAGTAATCACTCATTAAAAACATTAATGTATTTGAAGAGATTTGTGATTTAAATATGAAGAGTTAATATAAATGTTATAATAGATGTTTTAGTGTTTTTATGTTATTAAAAGTTATAGTGTTTACTTTTTCATATTTTTTTATTATTCGTTGTATATATATATCTTTTTAATACAAATGTTATAATATATGTTTTTCTATTTTTATGTTACTAAAAGTTGCAGTTCATATTTTTGTTCATACGTTTTGTTACCCGTTATATTATCATTCACTTGATATATAATTTACACAATTTTAAACAGTTTATAAAATTATCAAATAATTGTATATATCACAATGACTTAAAAATTAAACTATAATGTTTAATAAAACTAATATGTTAACTATATGTTTGTTTTACTATTAACATTTTGTGTCAAAGTAGAAATATTAAATAATAATTTGGTAAAAGTTATTATTTTAACTATATAATTCTATTCTCGCGCAACACGCGGGGATTCGCCTAGTTGATTATATAAAACAACAATTTAAAGGGCTTCAATTTAGCAACAATCCACACCTAAGCTTCCAAAACCGTCATTTCCTTTTTATTCTCCCCTCTCTCGATCACTTTTATGAAAATGAAGAGGATTTAGGTGTTTATGTTCTTATCTTTTGTCACTTGACACATCTAGTCATTTTATTTCTTATTATTTTCCTTATTTGACCATAAAATGGCATTGACTAGTCTTTTATATGTATAATACCTACCCTAATCAACTAATTTGTTAACAAATTCAATATACAATGAAGTTAAGTGAGCTAAATAAGAGTTATATCTAATTTTAGTTAATTCAACGGAATCAAATCTTATTTCCCATACCTTAGACATCTATTTAGACAATTAATTTATTAAATTCATTTAGTAGTTGTTGTGATTTATTTATTTTACTTATTTAATGTTTTATAGTTTTTAAATTATTGCCAAATAGCAGATGTTATAGAACGATACCTAATAATTAATATCAAAACTATCGCTTAAGACATGAAGGTGAATATCGATGATTACTTATACTATAAAATTAGCATTGGCGAAGAACATTACAATGTCATTTACGAGGAACTATGCTTATACTAATTAAGACATTGTCTTAAATATACTAAACATCTTATGCTTCAAATAAGGTTTAACTTATTTGACAATTACTCAACCCGAAAAAAGAGTATTCACTGGAATTGAAAAAGTTATAGGGACCAAACGTGCAATTTTGACCAAACCATAGGGACGATTTCAATAATTTACTCTATTAAATATGATAGTCTTTTTTTTAATGACCGAAATTATATTAGATTAAGATAAGTTAAAAGTAATTATTCATTAGTTGAATTAACGTTAACCGTAGGTGAATATTAAGTGCCCACACAACACTATAAGTGAAGTGATGTTCTTATTATTGCTAAGGTGGGTATTCTACCCGATAGTACATGTCTATACTATTTTGATGACTTTTTAAATTGTTATTTCATAGTGTGAATACTATAAGTATTTTGTGTATTCATGAAATGTATTTTGGAAAGAGATTTATTACCAATGGGATTATTTTGACAAAAAATTATTTGAATCATGAATTTATGGATCCATGTAGGATTGGTTCATGTTTGTGTGTTTCCCTTGCACTTTTTAGGAATACAGTCCCATTCAAACGTTGACAATTATGGTTTGTGATTGACATTCTAGATAATAATGATCGAGGGGATTGATTTTGCACGCCCATTTTGTGGTTTCAAGTGTGATGGTTACATGACTCTAAAACCTTGTTTTGAAGTCTCTAAGTGAGGTTAGTATGAGATGTTAACTCCTTGTTTATGCTTCCCATTATTTGAAGCCTCTAAGTGGGTTTAATGAGATGCTAATACATTGTTTATGATTCTCATTACCATTCAGATCTTTAATGTGAAAGGGATTACTATGAAAATAAAGACTTGAGTTATGGGAAATAGAAGCATGTACATTAACTTATATTTTTGTAAAACTTATTTTGTTAATGATTTGACAATGCTCTAACTTTCTCCAATTATGATTGATACTGATCTTCGATGATTTTAAACCTTTTTCAAGAGTTACTTTAGGTTTGAATGTGACCTTTTCTGATACCCTCTAGAGTTGATTCTCAAGGATACTCATTAATGTATTGCAGTTAACAGATTACGAAAATCATGTTACGTCCATAATCAAAGTATAGAGTTTCTAGTTGATTTTGTAACAACGTTCAGTATTTCAACAAGACAACAACTAATGTTTAATATTCATTTGCCAAACATTGTATAGAGTACTAAAATATATCTTAAGAAACTTACAAGATACTTAGGACACATGCTAAGAAGACTCAACATTTTATCAACTAAATTTAATCACCTTCGATTGATCACTAATTAAAGCATTGAACATCATCTAAAAACTTCAAAATATCTTGAAGACAAGCAGAAAAAGACTTGATGCATAGATGGCTAAAGATCAATGTTAATCTTCGTGAGTTGAAAATGATCTTCAGTTGGACAACTACTAAAGTGTTGAATGATAAGTACTAAATATCATAACCAATTATCGAAACCAAATGATCAATCAAACTCCAAATGTAGATGTTGAAAAGGATGTTCAAGTATGAACATTTGAAGAGGCTTGAAGTTAAATGTAGATCAAAATATAATTTTGAAAAGATTGTTCAAAATCTTTTGACAACATGTTTTGTTTTATTGGGTACCATGCTTTACAAAGTTATATCTAACCTAAGAGGTAAAAGTAGCACTATTTTTCCTTGCATTTATTTCTACCTTAAAAGCCATATAACACAAATATTAAATGCAGTATGGGTCTATGGGATTCATCTTTGTATGGAGAAATTATTACACAACCTAATACAAGTTATAGATTGCAAAGGACAATTCTTCATATCGACAGTGCTTCCGATGCTTAAGAAATTAAACAAATAATATGTGAGAGAAAAAATATAAAGTTTTTCTGATAAAGTTTTTTTTATTGATTTAAAACTTTAAACTATTAAAATAAAAACCAAATTCATAGCTAAAAATGCAGAAGCAAAGTCATCTAGTGATGTTATTATCATAAGTTTCAACTGTAAGCAAATTGAGATAATATCGAAGATCTTCCTTCATGAATACAAAGTTTCCAATAAAATGGGCTTATCTGAAAATTAAAACTTACTGAGAATGCCAAGAAACTATGTGAGTCTGTTCAAAATGACCAAAGTGACAAAAGTTGAAGGTGCAGAATTGGCTTTTCTACTTGAAATTGAATCAAAACAGGGTGTATGAGTCAACTTTTGCTACAGAAGTAGGGAAGATGCACATAAATTCCCAGATACCTGCATAAACATCAACAAATCTCTAATCAATATATCAAATTATGAGCAAATGTTGCATTTCAACTATTCATCTATAACCCAATACCCTAGTCATTTAGAATCTAAAGAAAAAATATATATTGCAAAGAACACATTTTTACGAATCAAAGACCAACAAACAGCTAATAACATTCAGAGGGTATCCTTTAATTAACAGAAATCTGTGAGATTAAATGCATGCAAGGAGGGCAAAAGAGGGAATTCTTACCTTCAGATTCTACTCTGAAACTTTTCCTTTTCCTTCACTTCCAATAGCATCAGTCACCAAAGTTAATGGTCTTTCATCAATGACTTCATCAATGATACCAAACTCTTTTGCCTCTTGTGGTGTCATAAAGTAGTCTCGATCCATATTCTTCTCAATCACATCAACAGATTGTCCAGTATGCTTTGCATACAATGCATTGAGTGAATCCCAAACACGAACAATCTGTTTGGTGTGAATAGTCATATCTTTAGCCTGCCCACTGTATCCACCAGAGGGTTGATGAATCATGATAGTTGCATTAGGAAGAGATCTTCTTTCCCCTTTTGCACCAGCAGCCAATAGGAGAGAACCCATTGAAGCAGCTTGACCCAAACATATGGTATTAATTGGAGAACGAATATACTGCATTGTATCATATATTGCAAGACCTACAAAAAGAGGGCAGCATTGATTACAGTATTCTATAGTATTGGTACAATACATTCAACAAATATATGATCATCAACTACTATTGTATACACTTCTACCCGACAACTTATAATCATCAATTACATAAATCCAAATAAATGTCATTCAAAATGGTATCTTTTATCAAATTTTAAGCAAAATATGTCAGTATTTTGATAACATCAACTTATCCTTGATGATTTGAAACTACATACACCTTCAAACCACCATTTGCTTCCTTAATCTTGTGTTTAAGCACACAAAAAAATACCCTCATTCATGGAGGAGGGAGTAGTATGTCAGGAGTAAACTAAGGGGAAATGATGTACAATAATGTTTATCAGATATGAATGTTTCCAATATATGCTAAAAGTGAACACATATAAACACCCATTCAAGTAGGTTGTTCGTTCCATTTCAATAACATATGTGTACACTTGGATTTCAACATCAAAACTAGCACCTTCTGGATGTGAAGATGAAGTAGGCTTCTATGCAAATATAACACATATATTACTACTTACTATACGGTTGTACCAAGTTTATATGTCGTGAGCAACCTTCCCTGATAATTGTTAACCAACACATACTTCCAAAAAAAAATATTATCAACAATTCATCTGGTGCATATCTTTCCTTGGAGTAGAGGGAACATGAATTTCACATATCCCATATCATCCACACCGAGAAATTGGAACAAAAAAGGTCTCAAACTCCTATATTACAAATCATACAATGATACGCACATTCATTGAACTAAAATTATAATATATAAACAAGTAAAATCGGAAACCTGCAGTGACGGCTCCGCCAGGGGAATTAAGGTACATGTTGATGGGTTTGGAAGGGTTTTCGGATTCAAGGAAGAGGAGCTGAGCAACGACGACGTGTGCTGTATCATCGGCTATGGGCCCGTTTATACATATGATTCTCTCTTTGAGTAGTCGAGAGAAGATGTCGTAGGCTCTCTCTCCTCGCGACGAGTGCTCGATGACCATGGGTATTAGACTGTAGGAACTCCGTTGATTTGCCATGATTGGAGTCTTCGCTACTCCGGTCCATAGCTTGCTCAAATTGCGAGTGATTAGGCTCGGCATTGCTGCGATAGAAGGAGAAGAATCGGAGGAAATTGGGGATTTATGGCAGGGGTTCTGATTTAGAATGCCGATCTCTTTCTTTGCCTAGTTCCCGACCCAATAAAATCTTTTCCTAAAAATATTAATTTCCTTGTTATACACCTACACTAACTACACTACGACCGAATCAATTTTAATGTTATAAAAATCATAACAATTTATTTTATGTTTTAAAGAAAACAAAATTTTATTATTTTTGTTGTTTTCTTATTTTAAGATTATAGAAGTTATAAATACATATATAATTGGTCTCTATTTATTGATAAAAAGTAATCATGTTTTTTAATGTATTTTATTGTTTTTAATAAGTATAACGTGTAGTTAATAATTAAATAAGTTTTGCAAATAAAAAGCAACTACTAGTTGGTGGTTTGTGCATTACGATGTGTTTATTAATATATTTTTGATATTATTTCAGTAATATTCTCTTATACGAGACTATTTATATAAGTTCTGTGAAACATATTGACAATTTCTATAAAATCAATATTAGAAATGGATTATTTTTGTAATTTAGGATACATATGGACCATTTTTGTTATAATGCTATTAGGTAGTGTAATTTTTTTTAATTTTGTGAACAGACAGACTATTTCTATTATTTTGCTCTTACACCCGCTCCCGAGTTGTAGCAAAGAAAAGAAGAGAAGAGAAAGAAAGGAATTTGCCTTTTGTGCTCCCGATTTTGAGAGAAATGAAATGAAAGTTAAACATTTTGTTCTTTATTTCCAAATCCTTCCAAATCGGAAGGAAAGTTAAGAGGGAAAGTGATCATTTCATTTCCTTCCACTTCCTTCCTTTAATGAAACTCGGGAGCACCAATTTCTCTTACTTTCCTCTCACTTCCACATATTTCCTTTCTTTTATCTCCTTAAGTTGAACTCGGGAGTGGGGTGTTAGATCGCATGAACTTCATTGTTTGGGTAAAATCATAATGCTTCAGATTATATGTTGGTCAAAAAAATCGGTTTTGGATCAGTTATTATCCAAAGAAAAAAAAGTTCTTATGATTATAGATGATAAAATAGATTTAGGTCTCGTTTGATACACATCTTTCAAGGTCCACATAGATTTTTCTGGCTGAATGGGCAGGAAAGACTGTTTGATTTGCTCAAAAAAAAAGTTTTTCTCGGTAAGATATGTCTTTCCCATAAAGTCCAAAAACCATATATTTTAGCTGAATGAGCTTGATTTGGTGTAACGCCAGTTTTCAGGTATTTGCATTGTTGGCCTTGCTTTATATTAACCTTGCATTTTGGTCCCAAATGCCTGACGTTGGGAATGGAACGCTAAGCGTTAGAACGCCAGGCGTAAGTTTGTGGATGCCAGGCGTTCGCACGCAGATGGCAAACCCTAATTTTTAGGGGTTGCACCCTATTTAAAGGCCATTATAGCCTCAAAACGTTTCTTATCTCCAGCCTCCGACCCTTATAGCCCTCATTTCGAAACCCTAAGTATGTGTGAGTGTTTTGAAGCCTTGGAGTAACATTTTGGTATCATTTTAGTGTTCTTGGTGGAGAAGGAAGATCTTTGGAGTGTTGATGTTGCTCTCTAGCCTTTGGATCTGGACTCTTGGCATCTTGGAGTACCTTTTGGAGGTATAAAGTTCATATCTTGATGACTTCTTTATTAGATCTTGCTTAAGTGTAGTTTTATGTTCTTTTTGGTCCCAAGAACTTGACTTTTGTGAGTTTGGAATGCTCCAGAGGTTTGGGCTGTCATTTCAAGCATTTTGGAGGGTTTAGAATCATAAAAATGCAAGCTTAGACCTTGATACTCCTCCATGCAAGAGTTTTGGAACTTTAGAGTGTAATTTAAGTTAGATTTTGGTGTTGGGCTCTTTGTAGCCATGCAAAGTCATAAAGGTTGCAACTTTATGACTTTAGACGTTCTTTTAGCATTGGATCCGAAGTTTAAACGTTAGGTCTTAAGCCATTAAGACCTTGGTTAAGGATTTAGGATTCGGTGGTTACGCCAGGCGTTTGGGTTAGAACGTTGGGCGTTCGGACGCCAGGCGTCATTGAGTGGACACCAGACATTCTCTCAAAAGCCCATTGGATCAATTTTGGGCATTGGACCATTTAGGATTTTGGGCTTGGATTAGTTGGGCCAAGTGAGGAAAGGGTAAAATGGTCTTTCACCCTAGGAGTTGGACATATAAATGAGATTCCTAGTTATGGTTTATGGCTCAATTATTAATTGGGGTTTTATGTGATTGATTAGTGTAGGGACTTTCCGGATCAGCAGTCCGAGCAATTATCTGATTTTCAACAGTTGAGGTGAGTCTCCTCTCAGCATTTAGAGGGTCAAAGGCACCAATGTCCGCCCATGATTTATTATGATTAGGATGCTAGTTGTATGTGTGACTCCTGAATGTGTAGTATGTGATATGTATACCGGGAGGGGCCTGATGAGTGTATTGTATGCTATTTGTCTCAATGATTCTTGCATGCGTTTTATGTGTCTATATGTATTAGGTGTCTAAGCTCATAACTATAATTGGTGTGTACTTGATTTGATAGTAGCATGGTCCTTTTGGGTTGCCTTCACTTTAGCAACTTGACATGATGACTTTTGGAGAGAGAGGTTGAATTTATTGTTTAGAATAATAAATTGATTTGTTAATGTATTATGAGAATAATATATTAATTAGAAATCATGTTATTTAATTAGTATTTAATCAGAAATTAATTTGGAATTAATTTCGGGACTAAATGAACTTATTAAAGGAACAAGGGCTGTTTTGCAAATCATTGATAGTTGTGAAACTGGGCTATTGGACTCCTTTGTTAGGAGTGGACGAAAACTATAGGGAGGCCTTATAGATTTCGTCCAAGACTTCCTAATAAGAGTCCACGGGTCGCTTAAGCCTGAAGCAGGAAATTAGGGTTTCCTCCAGAAAACCCTAGCAGCCCTTAACTATATAAAGACCCCACCTCATAGGATTTTCGGCCAATGCTTGCTACTCCAAACCCTAGCCAAAACTCTAAGAGTATTTCCTCCTCTCTCATATCATCCTTTTGCTAGTAGTGTTTGTGAGCCATTAGAGGTGCAACATTTGAGGCATTTTGCTTTCAAGAGTCAATGATCTACAAGGTTTCTTGTTATTGCTACATAACAAGCAAGGTAAACTTCTAAACCTTAATTATATGTAGATTTCGATTTATATATGCTAGATCTAGGGTTTTGCTTTGGTAATCAATTTGCATGTTAAACTAGTGAAAAACTTATATCCAAAGCAATTAGGGTTGCATGATCACATAGTTTGTTGTTATGCTCAAAACTCATCAGTGATATCAGAGCCTAGGATGTTTTTCAGTTGAATTTGATGCAATGGTGAATTGTCCAAAGAAGAAGGGAACAAATTCTTCAATCTGTTCATCAGAATCAACGAGTTCATTATGGAACTCGACAAGTTGGCTCAACTCGACGAGTTCACTGCCTGACTCGACGAGTTGACTCGTCAGATCCCTGATTTTTCGATTTTGATATCTTGATTTGATTAGGATAATTGCCTTAATTCGTTTTTATTGCTTAAAACTGAATTTTCTGGAAAAGGTAATGCATATCCTTATCAAAATAAATGATTTGGTCAAATTTTAAGATAAAGACAAAAATTAATTTATTAATTTAATTATGTAAAATTTGATCTAGTATTTTTGAAAAGTTCTAAAAATACACCCTTTGGTTTTATAAACTAAAATTTGATTAAAAAGTTTTATTTTGAAATCTTAAATTTTAGAGCCCTAGTATTTTAAAAGTTTAAAATACACCCTTATACTATTAAAAGTTTAATTTATATATATATATATATATATATATATATATATATATATATATATATATATGTAAGAAAAGGTCTGTCTTACCGTTAGTAAGCCTCATTCACGAAGTTGGTCTATAAGGGGTGTTTAAGGAAGCTACCTATAAAATGACCGCCATTGGGTATCCATTCTTACCCACCGACCTCTTGACTAGTGGAGGGTTGTTAGCCGAACGGTTAGGATAGGACATTAAATTCTCATTAATAAGTATAATGAAAAATATAAAGTAACTAAATGTTTTTTTTATTAAATTCCCAATCTTAGTTACTTTAGAAAAATGTGAATTTGATGCTAATCCATGAAATTGCACATTGCACTTTGTATAAGTCGTCAGTGGAGCGTGTGTGGTTAACCGACACACTAACTTGGACTAACAAAGGGTGGCAATGGGTAGCTCGTAAATTATCATTGATCAATGGAGCGTATGTGGTTAACCGGCACATTGATTGGGTGGTAAATGACATCGAGAGTACCAAGCTAATTTGCATGGTTATTCACACCTTATTTGTGATCCTCGGTATCCCAGTCGCAAATGGAAAGGGCATAGTCGAGATTAAACATGCCATTGAATAGTTCAATGAATCTCAAAAGATCTAAGAATTTCATTCATTTTAAATTTCATTTTCATGGTGGAATTGGTAAATCGTCATTTACCTACCTTCAAATAATCTACAATTGGATTACGGCATCCCTTTTCTGAATTGTGAATTATTTGTGTTGGGTCTTAGCCTTAATATTTCATTTGGGTGTTATATTAAGGATTTCCTTATCTAATCAAAACTTGTCTTTCTTCTTTTTCAGATGTCTACCTCAAACAACGCTTTCGGTTCCTCTAACAACAACTCTGCTAACTCTTTCTCGCTCTTGAGCATTTGTGCCAAGGTGACATTCGATGGTTCCAATTTTGACGATTAGATTCGTAACATCATAATGGCCTTGCGTTTCGAGTACAAGGAATACGTCCTCGATAAAGAGCTGAACGAGATAGATGAATCAAAATCTAGTCCTAAGGAAATAGTTGAGTGTAAGGCTCACTGTCGCGACCAAAGTGTCGTGTATTATGGTGGCCACTATGACTCCTGAGCTACAACGGTTTTATGAGGACTGTTGGCCTTATGAGATGTAACAGGACTTGATGGAGAAGTTCCATCAAAGAGCACGTCAAGAAAGGTATGAGATATTCAGGTCACTCATAACCACCAAGATGAAGGATGGAGAGTCCATCACGACCCA